AAGATAACATTTATGTATATTATAACATACAAATAGACACTAAACCAGTGATAAATTTTGGTGAAGTAATGCATGACGGACACATCAACAAGATTTGTCTCGTCACGTAGTTTTAAGACGCATTTTCATTCAAAAAAAAATTCAAATAGTATGAAGCATTACTAAAATCTTATGATAAGGATTGCGAACAAGGTAATCCTTTAATATTATTTGTTTTTCTTCATCAACAAAACTTAAATGATTGTTATTGTCCATATCAGAAATCAAACCGTTCTCGTCGAATAAATCATCACCTTATCAACCGATACCAAAGCTTACATCCTTCTTTAACCAATGCTTGTACAAATTGGATAACTATAGAATTGAAGGCGAAAATGATGAAAGCAATTGAAGATGCGGTATTGGTATTATCAATGTGATTTGCTCGTCTTTTTAAATTTTTGGTTAACGATAGATAAATATAATGAATAGATCACGAGGAAAAAAGAACTAGAAAAGGATTAGCAGAAACTAATTTGGAAAAAAAAGGAAGGGAAAAAGGAAGGGGAACCGGAAGAGACAGCAGAATTGCAAAAAAATGATATTAATAATAATAGCACACAAGAAGATAAAGAAAAATCCTCTTCAATTGAAAATAGTAATTCTGTTGATGAGCTCTCTCTTACTATCCATAATGAAAATGGCGAAGACAAAAATCTCGATAATAACTATGATCCCAATAATAACTATGTTGACAATAATGATGATGATGAGATAAAAATGTATAACAATGAGAAGAATGATGATGATGATGTGATAACATTTATCTTCGCCTTATTTTCAATAGAAGAGAAAAAGAAAAGAAGCAGAAAGAAAAAGAAGAAAGTGAGAGAAGTGACACCAGTATCCGAAGAGATTCCGGTTTCATTCACGTGATAATTCTATAGTTTAAAAATGTTGGCTAATAAATCAAATAATTTGGCTGATAATAATGAACAAAGGATTCTCATTTTTGACGATAAATCTCATCAGGACTTAAAAGTAGACCATCAGCATCTACAAGCGCATAATAATAGTATCAAAGAAACAAATGCTGAAAATGGAAATGGTATTGATGGTGATATAACTGTGATAGATCTCTGTGTATGATTTACAATATATTACAAGTGGAGGGGGAAAGGAGCATACGATGAGTGGGTACTACATATTATACAGCAAGGATTATTAATGTAATAATAGGTATACATATAGAAATTCTTGAGAGACTTATATAATGTATTGTTCAAACAACGGAAAAAGAATATCTCAAAGAAATATAGTTGTAAAGATTTTTTGCCTTAAATTATATCAAATGAATAAAAGAATGGTGGCAAATAGAGATTTATAAAATTCAAGATATCAAACTGACCAGAGCCATCAACCCTATCCGCTTAGTCACACTGAAGAAGGATCATATTATGTTTCAAAGCGTTATTTGGTACACACTATTTTAAAATTTTTTGAATAATATAGTTAAACGCAATCATTTTATTATAAAGATGAAAATTCTCATAGTTTAGTTCATTAACAATATCCGAATTCTGCAATCTTTAATCGAATCGTCTTGCTCCTTTTCATCATCTGGTATATTGATATGGTGACAATATATAAATTGGCGCAAATTGACAAATTGGTTTCATTAACCGTTCCGAGACTGATATCTATTTCCCTAAAAACTTTTATCTAAAAATTTATTCTCCACCCTAA